GAGTAGCTTCATTGAAATCCCTCACTAGCTATCCTAATAAAGCTAAACCACATACATGCTGGGCTTTTATAAATACCTGATTGAGATAATTTACATACCATGAGTGCACCTATTAGTATACTTACAGAGTTGTGCAACCATCACCATAATCTAATTTTAGAACATTTTCATCCCAAAATGAAATTTTATACCCATTATCAGTCCCTCCTCACCTCATCCCCCCGCCCCCCACAGTCATAGGCAACCACTAATTTATTTTCTATATTTATGGATTTTCCTATTCTGGGTATTTAATTTAACTGGGATCATATATGTGCCCTTTTGTGTCTGACTTCTTGCATTTATAATGTTTTCAAGGTTAGTCCACATTGTAGCATATATCAGCATTTCATATCTCTTTATGGCTGAACAATACTCTATTGCATGGATATACTACTCTTCATTTATCCATTCATCAGTTGATGGGCATCTGGGTTGCTTCTGCCTTTTCATTATTGTGAATAATGCTGCAAGGACAATATGGAAATTCTATGTTTTGCTTTTGAGGAACTGTCCAACTATCTTCCAAAGGAGCCACACCATTTTACAACCTCTCCAGAAGTGTATGAGAGTTTCAATTTCTTCACCAACTCTTGATATTCTTTTTATATACTGGGTTTTTTACTTGGGAAAGTAATTATTTCTTTGCAAATCAGCAGTGCCTGCTTATCTTTGTGTTACCCTTTCATTCGGAGCATTTTTTAAATGAACAGATTTTATTTTTTAGAAAAGTTTTTGGTTTACAGATAAATTGAGCAGACAGTACAGAGAGTTGTGTTGTTTTGTTTTTGAGCCAAACAAGATTTCAATCAATGTCCTTAGTCCCTTTAAATATTATTTCCTTGTATTCATTGACTGAAAGAGTTCCCTTCTCAGTATACCTTCAAAAGACACTGGTGAATCTATTTCATATCTGACATGCCCCTATAAAGATATTTTTCAATCAAAAATTGCAATTCAAACATACAACGGAGAGTTATTACTTAAGGGTACTCTATGGTGAATAATCTTTGTGAAACACTAAATTCTTCATACATATAAATAATCCCCTATAAATGCTATGTGGCAAGAGGCAGATCTTTATGTACTCCCTGAGGGACCCTTACTGCAGCCTATTTCACTATAGAAATGGGTTAATCCTGAGTGCTCAATCAAAATATTCTATCCATCAATAAGTTATGGGAGGGAGGGGGTGAGGAGGATACTATATTAATCCATGACTAAGAACAGGATAAGATACTATACCAAAAGAGCAAATCAAATTCTTTAATTTGAACTATCTGCCCATGATTTTGGCTACTATAAAGACAACACTCCTTAAAACTTTAGTAATTTGGCTAAAGACCTCATCAGCTTCAAACTATTTTTTCTCCAAATTTCATATTAAAAATAATTTACTCTCTTGCCCCCTTTACTCTTTATCATTCATCAGAATATTAGTCTTATTAAGACAACTTAGGGAGGAGAACCAAGATGGCGGCATAGGTTAACGCCGGAGTTTGCTGCCTTGAACAACTACTTCAAAAGTGAAACTAAAAGACGGAAGGGACATCACCCAGAACCACAGGAACGCTGGCTGAGTGGAAGTCCTACAACTAGGAGGAAAGAGAAACGCATACGGACACTCAGAGGAGGCGCAGTGCTGAAGTCAAATTCTGAGGTGCGGAGTGCGCGGAGTGGGCTGGCGGCAGAGGGCGTGGTTGGCGTTTTCAATCGGGAGGGAGTCGCAGACTCTGAGCTCCAGATACGGGCGAGTCTTTAGGGACCCAGACTCAAACAGGAGAAGCGGGACTGTCTGGCTTCAGTCAGAGCGAGTGCAGCTTTCTCTCCGAGGTTTGCAGCGGGTGCTGGGACTCAGAGAGGCAGAGCCCCTGGGGACAGGACTGAGAGCCGCCATAACTGCTCTCTCCGGCCCACCCTGTTGATCCTGTGCGACCTGCTCTGCCCAAGCCCTGCACAGAGGCATTTGTCGGATAGCCTCAGGCAAAGGCTAGATTAGCACCTCCCTAGAGGACAGAAGTTCTCTCACTCCAGACACAGCTGATTCTCACAGCCACTTGGCCTGGAGGTCAAACCCTCCCTGGTATTAGCTACAACAATCAAGGCTTAACTACAAGACTGCGCACAAAGACTACTAGGGGGTGCACCAAGAAAGCATAACAAAATGCGGAGACAAAGAAACAGGACAAAATTGTCAATGGAAGATATAGAGTTCAGAACCACACTTTTAAGGTCTCTCAAGAACTGTTTAGAAGCCGCCGATAAACTTAATGAGATATACAAGAAAACTAATGAGACCCTCGATGTTATGATGGGGAACCAACTAGAAATTAAGCATACACCGACTGAAATAAAGAATACTATACAGACTCCCAACAGCAGACCAGAGGAGCGCAAAAATCAAGTCAATGATTTGAAATGCGAGGAAGCAAAAAACACCCAACTGGAGGGGCGGAATGAAAAAAGAATCCAAAAATGCGAGGATAGTGTAAGGAGCCTCTGGGACAGCTTCAAGCGTACCAACATCAGAATTATAGGGGTGCCAGAAGATGAGAGAGAGCAAGATATTGAAAACCTATTTGAAGAAATAATGACAGAAAACTTCCCCCACCTGGTGAAAGAAATGGACTTACAGGTCCAAGAAGCGTGGAGAACTCCAAACAAAAGGAATCCAAAGAGTACCACACCAAGACACATCATAATTAAAATGCCAAGAGCAAAAGACAAAGAGAGAATCTTAAAAGCAGCAAGAGAAAGAAACTCAGTTACCTACAAGAGAATACCCATACAACTGTCAGCTGATTTCTCAACAGAAACTTTGCAGGCCAGAAGGGAGTGGCAAGAAATATTCAAAGTGATGAATACCAAGAACCTACAACCAAGATTACTTTATCCAGCAAAGCTATCATTCAGAATTGAAGGTCAGATAAAGAGCTTCACAGATAAGGAAAAGCTAAAGGAGTTCATCACCACCAAACCAGGATTATATGAAATGCTGAAAGGTATCCTTTAAGAAGAGGAAGAGGAAGAAAAAGGTAAAGATACAAATTATGAACAACAAATATGCATCTATCAACAAGTGAATCTAAGAATCAAGTGAATAAATAATCCGATGAACAGAATGAACTGGTGAATATAATAGAATCAGGGACATAGAAAGGGAATGGACTGACTATTCTTGGGGGGGAAAGGGGTGTGGGAGATGCGGGAAGAGACTGGACAAAAATCGTGCACCTATAGATGAGGACAGTGGGTGGGGAGTGAGGGCGGAGGGTGGGGCGGGAACTGGGAGGAGGGGAGTTATGGGGGAAAAAAAGAGGAACAAATGTAATAATCTGAACAATAAAGATTTAATTAAAAAAAAAAAAGACAACTTAGGCTGAGTATGTAGTCATCGCTAGTGTCCTCTGTGGTTTTCTGCCTTATTTTATGTTGGACTTCCCCAGGCTCAGTACTTGGACTTTTTCTTGTCTGACATTTATGTAGATTTATAAATTGTAACAAATTAATCACTCTGGTGAATAATTTTGATGTGGGAGAGGGAGCTATGCACATGTGGGCATAGGGAGTACATGGGAAACCTCTGTACCTTCTGCACAATTTTGTTGTGCAACTAAAACATCTCTAAAAAAATAAAACCTATTAAAATTAATTTTCAAAAGGTAGTGCTTTAGACTGACAGTTAAGAAGGACTGTGGGTGGTAGAATGAGACAAAGAACTCTGATAGCAATGTGCTAGTCTCAAACCTGCCACAATCCGGCTATGTGACTTGGGACAAATTTTCTTAGTTTATCTGGACTCTTGTTTTGTTTACCTGGATGTATAGGGAAGTAGATTTCAGTATGTCTTAACCTTTTTAGGGCTGTTCCCCTCCAGGATACCCTCCACACTAGGGTTATCTTCCTAACAACAAAAGCTGTTATGTTAATTCCCTATTTTAAACTTCCTTTGTCTGCCCTATCCCTCAGGATAAAAGTCAAACTCTTTCTTTGGGCATATAGAGACCCTTCATAATTTGACCCTTTGGCCACACTACTCTTCCTTTCATTCTAGCCCACATTATTTTTTAACCAGTGTTTCTCAAAGTATAATGTTAAGGACCAGGTTCAGTGCCTGTAACAAAAGCAAAATGCCTTTGCCCCAAGTAAGGTTAGGTTCTCAGATGATGGGAACTTACATTTTCACAAGATCGCCAGATGATTTGCCTCACTTGGTATTTGAAAACCACTGTCCTACATCTTAGCCACACTGAACTTTTCTCATTCCCCTGTCTGGAATGTCCTTCCCTGTCTCATCCATATGGTAAAATCTGCTTTTTAGCACAAATATAAACTCCACTATGAAGTCCTTGGCCAATCCTCTAGTTCCCTCCTCTGTGCTTCTGCAGTACTTCGTTGATCTTTCACATAGTACATAGCACCTACTGTAATTGTCTATTATAATGTGAGCTTGGAAACAGAGACCATCTTAACTCATTTTTATATTCCCAGCATCTAAGATATGAGACACATAATGTTGTTTGAACAAATAATGAACGGATAAGGATGAAGAACTACAGTAAACTACTTAGTCCACAAATATTTGAGTGCCTACAATGTGCTAGGCACTATTCTAGTACAAGAAAGTAGGCAGAACATTTTGCTTATAAGACAATTAGAAACCTAGACACAGAGTTCTATTTTAAGCCTCTTTTAGCATTTTATCTGTACAAACTTCTAAATTAGCTACTTGTTTTTTTATTCATGATTAGAAAAGGACCACTTGCCTAATGTTTACAAGTGAGTGGCATTATGACAATGAATGACAGTGGGAAAGCACAGTGCACTTAGTCTGTGCTCATAAATATGTTGTAAGAGTCCAGACTCCATTTCATAGACAACTTCTCTTTATCAGCCTCTGGAGAATGTAACTTATAAAGAATTGGCAAAGGGGAAAATAGTAAATGAAGACAAAACCAAAGTAATTCCTCCAATAAATTCTTTAATGAGAACCGAGGTCTGTAACATACACAGCAATAACTTCCCTGGCCTATGCTTCTGCTCTCACCCAAGTCTGAGGCTAACCAACTACATTTAACCCACATTTGAAAAGAAGGCCATTTTGAATGTCACCCATCAGTATCCATCTTCATAGAAGATACCAATCTGGTGCCAGAATCTCAATGCTAACACTTCCTCTCAGGGAAGTTAACATGGTAACACAAACAACTGAACAATTTTGAACAATCCTATCTATTGTTCTTCCATCAGGAGGCCCTTAGGAGACCAATGGTTCAGTAAACACTCACAACTTTGTCAAAATACATTTGAAGAAGGAAAAGGGAAAAAGAGTAGAAAGGTTGGCAGGGCTTGGCTCACATGTAATTCAGTCCTTAGATCTGAAGTCTCTTAAGCTGCTCATATGTGATAAAAAACTGAAGAGTAAGTCATGGAAGATCACTGGGTTAACACAGAAAGCCAAACCCAGTTTTAAAATTGTGCATTGCATTCTTAAATTAAGGTACTTAGTTTGTGCTACTCTAAGTTGCACTTGCTTAAAAGTCTTTTTAAAAACAATACCTGGCAAATCAGCATGTACTGAATGCCCACCATGTGTCCATTATCTTCACTGGCATTTAGCAATATAAACAGATTAAAATTTTAACATAATTGGAGTCTTCAGGGGGCAAATAACACACACACACACACACACACACACACACACACACACACACACCCAAGAACATCAATGGTAACATATAATTCAGTTCTAGAATAATCGTTTACAGACATTAGGTAATCAGAGCAATCCCAAGGAGGGTGAGAAATACTATCTCCCTCAACCTATAGACTCCACAAGGGCAGGAAATTACTTTTCAACCATGCAATGCTCACTACTGTACACACACCACCACCCACAGCATCCAATTCATGACTCTGCATGTAGAAGGCACTCAAACACAGATAAAGCAAGGAGATTCACCCCTGAGGAAATAGCCCTATTTGGCCCTAGATTCCTTCACCCTATTTATGTTTTCTGTCTTATTATTTCTCCAGCTGTTTTGTTCCTATAGTTAGGGGATAGGAAATATGGACCTCCTCAGCATGGACTTTTCTGTGGGCAGTTCCCAGCAGGGAAATAGCACCTTCCAGATTTGTCTGTTATTGTTAGTGCTTTTTTTTTTTAAGAGGACATTTGCTATGCCTTTTCTAGTCCTTTCAGTTTGTATTAGACTCCAACTGAAAGTCATTTCTTAATTCCATCCTCAATGGCCACCATTAGAATGCTTAGGTTTCTCACTTGCCTAAAAGCTTCAAGGATCAAATTTTCCTTCCCATAGCCTAGAATTACCTGGGAGCTTAAAGTATTTGCTTTCATTCTCATGTTGTGAAAGGATACAATGATGTTCCAGGGTCCAAGTCGAAGCCAGTTTGGCCAAAATCCTTTATAGAGTGCAAAAAAGCCCTCGTGTTTCCACATCTGAAAGATGTAATAAAAAATAGAGTGAATTCCCCTTACTCTTTACATCTGACAATTACATGTATTTTAATATTCATCTTCCAAGTCCCTCCCCAACAACTCATGACTCCATGAATAGTCCTTTTTTTCTAGACATACATTTGAATTCATAGATAATATAAATAAATCTACCCATTCATTCAACAAATATTTATTGAGCACCTACCATATGCAAATATATTCTTGATGCTGAGATAACAGTAATACTAGCAAAGAAGAGAAAGAAAGTATCGCCTTCAACATTAACTGCAAAATGATCCCTGCAGAGTTTCCTATCAGAAAATGTATAAGCAAGAGAAGAAATGTATGTTTTAAAATGTGATGGACTAAGGATATGGACAAGGATAGGGTTAGGGTTAGGGTTAGGGTTAGGGATAAGAATAGGATTAGGGTTAGGGTTATGGACAAAGATAGGGTTAGGGTTAGGGATAAGGATAGGGTTAGGGTTAGGGATAAAGATAGGGTTAGGGTTAGGGATAAAGATAGGGTTAGGGTTAGGGAAAAAAAATAAAATACAATGTGATGGACTAAATGCATGAGGGCTATTTACCATTTGCAATAAAAAGGTATCCCCCCAGGAAAAAAAAAAGAAAGAAAGTATCTGTGGTAGACAGCTTCCAAGATGGTCCCCAAAGAAAGCCACCTCCAGTTTTTCATACCCTTGTGTAGGCCCACCCACACATATCAGGATTGGTCTGTGTCTCCAATAGAATAAAGCGGTGGTGAACATGTCATCTCCAATGCTTTGTTACAAAAGATGCTTTATATATAAAGCTTCTGCCTTGTTCTCTTTTAGATCATTCACTCTGGAGGAGGCCAGCTTCCATGTCATGAAAAGGCCCAACTGTGAGAAACTAAGGCCTCTTGCCAACAGCCAAAGAGGAAGAGAGGCTTCCTGCTAACAGCCACATGAATGATCTTTGAAGCAGATATCCCAGCCCCAGTCAAGCCGTCAAATAACATTTCATCACTGGTTCATCACTGCAAGTTCTGTGTAACGCTAGGGCCTACCTCATATCAATGCTCTGAGGATCACATGAGGAAAATTGTGAATTCCTTTGAGTTTGGGTTTCCTGTTTCAAAGATGGTCTACACATACCAGCTTAATGGTTATTATAAATTAAAGGAAAAATGAGGTATATCAAAGGTCATAAACCAGTGGTGTATAATGAATCCAACCTATAGAAACAGTTCCTGTTTAATGGACAGATTATCTCTTAAGTGACTCCTGTAACTTAGGCATTGTGTTAGACATTGGAAAAAAAATGTTATTCTGCTCTTGTTGGTTTGGCTCAGTGGCTAGAGCGTCAGCCTGCCTGGGTTCAATTCCAGTCAAGGGCATGCACCTCAGTTATAGGCTCAATCCCCAGCCCTGGTTGGGGCCCATTTAGGAGGTAACCAATTGATGTGTCTCTCTCACCTCAATGTTTCTTTCTCTCTCTCTCTCACTGCCTTCCTTCCACTCTCTCTAAAAATCAATGGAAGAATATACTCAGGTGAGGATTAACAACAAAAAAATGTTATTTTGCCTTTCCACTGGTGAAGTGAAACCCACCACTATACTAAAAAGTAAATATATCTGGACTAGACAATAATTTGAGAATCCAGACTTATAAATATCCCTTATCTTATGCTTGATTTCTTTAGATAAATTCCCAAAAGTGGAACTGCTATGTTGTATGGTGGTAATCATATCATAAGGTATATAAACGTCAAATCATTATATTGTACACCTGAAACTAACATAATATATTGTATGCCAACTATACTTAAACTGAAAAAAATGAGCACTCGAGATAATTATCCATACTAAGCATTTTTTTGGAGCAAACAGCAACATAAGTAGGGCGTAATTTATGAAAGCATAGTGATAATATACTTCCCCCAATGGATTATGAGCAAATGTCAAAGGTCTCAGCAAAACTGATGTTGAAAAATTGTGAAAATCAGCAAGAGTAAAGCCCAGATGCAGATAACCTAGAACCATAGATTGCTAAAATTACAAGGGACCTTAGAAATACAATCCAACCCCATCACCTCTCACCTAGAATACCACAATAAACCTCCAAATTGGTCTACAATCTCCACCTGGAAGTCAAAACAAACTTTTAAATTTTTAAACAAGACAGTGTCACTTTCCTGCTTAAAGCTCCCCAATGACTTCCCAGTGGAATTCATTCTAACTGCAAGTTTTCTGTGATGACATTTAGGATCCTACATAATTTAGCCCCTCCTTCTCTCCAGTTTCATTTCCTACACTTTGCCCTTCATTTACCACACTCAGGCATGCCAACCTTATTTTTAACCCTTGAACATGTCCAGCTCATTCCCAACTCAGGACCTTTGTACCTGTTCCTTCTTTAATGCAATACTTTTCTCTCCAATCTTCACATGGCCACCTTCTCATCATCAGACCTCTGCTCAAATGTCAACTCCTCACAGCCTTTTCCTAGCTACCCTAGCTGAACTAGTTTCCCATCATCATCATCACTGAGTCACTAGCTCATACATTCTGTTAGTTTCTTCACAGCATTTACTTCTATCTGAAATTATACTCTTTATTGTCTGTCCCCCTCCAGGAAAGCATGGACTGTGTTTGTCTCATTCACCATTATATCCCCACCACCTAACACTGTCTGGCACAGTAAAGTTTCTAACAAATATCTAAGTAAATATAGGGTGCCCAAAATAATGTATACATACACTTTGAATAATTATAAAGGCTGTGTTTATTAAAATACATTTCATTTTCAAAACAGAGTTATCAGCTGTTAAAGTGTGTAAAAATTTGGGGGGGAATGCCCTGTATTTGTTGAGTGAATGGATATACAAACACAGTTAGAGTCTCTAACACTTCCATGAGCCATCTGACTCCTTATAAAGCTCCAAAATATTGACTAACTTCTTTAGAACATTAGTAATGGGAGGCACATTTTTTGGCTTGAGGCAGTTGTATGAAAACAAACAAGAACTTTTATATAGATAAACAGAAACAACATTATGCATTCATTCAACAAATAATTTGCTGTAGATAAAATGACAAATAAGATGCACGCTGTCCTGCCTTCAAGGAATTTACAGTCTACTGGATGACAGATATTAAATGTAATTACAGAGGGAAAGGGTTTGGGGGCTGGGTGAAAAAAGGTGAAAAGATTAAGCAGAAAAAAATATAAGGCATGGCAAAAGTAAGTTTACAGTTATGAGTATACAAAACATAGTTTATTCTTGTATTATAGTTTATTAATAATTGTATTACTTTCCATACAAATAACTATAAACCTACTTTTCCCACCCAGTATATGACACAGACACAGACAATAGTATGGTGACAGCCAGAGGGAAAGGGGGTGGGGGAAGGTAGAAGAGGGCAAAAGGGGGATAAATGGGGATGGAAAGAGACTTTACTTTGGGTGACAAGTGCATGATGTAAAAGTAAAGCCCAGATACAGATAACCTAGAACCATAGATTCAGACAATAAACACACAAATAATAAAGAGCATAATTTCAGATAGAAGAAAATGCTGTGAATAAACTAACAGAATGTATGAGATAGTGACTCAGTGATGATGATGGGACACTAGGGCAGATAATATTTTATTGAGTTGTACACTTGAAACCTGTATGGTTTCATTAACCACTGTCACCCTAATAAATTAAATTTAAAAAGAATTAAAAAGTAAAAGTAATTAAAATAAAATGAAATGAATGTGATATAGCCATATGATGGGATATTATCCAATAAAAAAAAATGGGCAAAGGACCTAGACACTTTTTGAAAGAGGACATAAGGAAGGCCAAGAAACATATATGAAAACATGCTCAAAGTCACTAATCATCTGAGAGATGCAAATCAAAACAACAATGAGGTACCACCTCACACCTGTCAGAATGGCTATCATCAACAAATCAACAAAGGACAAGTGCTGGTGAGGATGTGGAGAAAAAGGAACCCTCGTGTACTGCTGGTGGGAATGCAGACTGGTGCAGCCACTGTGGAGAACAGTATGGAGTTTCCTCAAAAAGTTAAAAATGGAACTCCCATTTGACCCAGTGATCCCACTTCTAGGAATATATCCCAAGAAACCAGAAACACCAATCAGAAAGGATATATGCACCCCTAATGTTCATAGCAGCACAATTTACCATAGCTAAGATTTGGAAACAGCCTAAGTGCCCATCAGCAGATGAGTGGATTATAAAACTGTGGTACATCTACACATGGAATACTACGCTGCAGTAAAAAAGAAGGAATTCTTACCATTTGCAACAGCATGGATGCACCTGGAGAGCATTATGCTAAGTGAAATAAGCCAGTCAGAGAAAGATAAATACCACATGATCTCACTCATTTATGGAATATAATGAACAACATTAACTGATGAACAAAAATGGATATAGAGGCAGAGCAGCATCAAACAGACTGTCAAATGACAGTGGGAAGGCTGGGGAGGATTGGTGGGTGAAGGTAAGAGATCAACTGAAGGACTTGTAAACCCTATCTAATAAAGAGGGAATATGCAAATTGACCGTCACTCCAACACACAAGATGGCTGCCCCCATGTGGACACAAGATGGCCAGCAGGGGAGGGCAGTTGTGGGCGATGAGGCCAGCAGGGGAAGGCAGTTGGGGGCAATCAGGCTGACAGGGGAGGGCAATTGGGGGTAATTAAGCCAGCAGGGGAGCAGTTGAGCATCAATCAGGCTGGTAGGGGAGTGGTTAGGGGGCGATCAGGCTGGCAGGCAGAAGCAGTTAGAGGCAGGCAGGCAGGCAAGTGGTTGGGAGCCAGCAGTCCTGGATTACAAGAGGGACTGGACCTAAATGGGCAGTCAGACATCCCTCAAGGGGTCCCAGATTGGAGAGGGTGCACAAATTTTGTGCACCAGGCCTCTAGTAAAGTATAAGCATAACTAATGTACGCAAGACACTGGGAGAGGGGTGAGGGCATGTGCCGGGGGGGTAGGGGAGGCTGGGGGAAGGTCAATTGAAAAAAAAGGAGACATATGTACTACTATTTGTAATACTTTGAACAATTAAAAAGGAACAAAGTAAAAAAAATCAAATTTAAAAAAGGAACAAAGTACTGATACATGTTATAACATGGGTGAACCTTGAAACATTATGGTAAAATGAAAGGAGCCAGTCAAAAAGGTCACATTTTCTATAATTCTGTTTATATGAGATATCCAGAATAGGCAACTCTGCAGTAATAGAAAGTAGATTAGTGCTTTCTTAGAGATGGGGGAGATAGGGGGAATATGGTTTCTGAGGTTATGAAAATGTGGTGATGATGGTTGCACATATCTGTGAATATACCAAAAGCTACTTTGAATAGGTTAATTTTATGATATGTGAATTAGACCTCAATAAAGATTTTTAAAAATATAATAAATGCTATGATAGAGCAAGTGCACTAAACTATGTACACATAACCTAGTTTAACAATCAGGGAAGGCCTTTATGAAAAAGTAACGAGATCTAAAAATGAGCAGGAGCTAGCCAAGTGAAAGGGACTTAGGATGGAGTGGGGGGGGCATCTAACAAAGTATATGGTTTGGAAGAAAACTTGGAAATGAAAGTCAAGTACTAGAAATTGTTCAGTATATCTGGAATGCAGAGTAAAGGTAGGAAAGATAAGACTGTGGAAGTAAAAAGAGGTCAAATCATATAGAGCCTTGGATCAATGGAAATCCACCCAATGGTTTTAAGCTGGAGATGACAGTATGAGGTTTGCAGTTGCTCATTTCTATGTCAGAGACGAATGCTTATTCCATTCGCCAAAGTGTTTGGGGACTCTTAGAGATAAAATAACAAAGTATGATGCTATTATATATCATAATAATATAGAGTGAAATTGTTTTTAAAGAATTTTAATAGCAAATAAGTGAATCAGTGAGTAGATATAAGCAATTAAAGGTTAGTACCAACATGAAAATGTTTCCTTCTATACAACACAGGATAGTGGTTATAAATACAAACTTTGGAATCAGACAGGTCCTGGTTTAAATCCCAGAGCTAACACTTATTGGGTGTGTAATCTTGGATAAATACTTAGCTACTCTGAAACTAAAATCACTTTAATAAAATGGGAAAGATAATTATTTATTCCATAACGTTGATGTGAGTTAAAGGATATATTATAGTGTGATACATAGTAAACATTCAATAAATGCTATTACTAGATTATTGTACCTTCTATCTCCTCTTAACCAACCTTCTCTACTTATCCTCACTTCCTATGTGTTTATCTGTCTCTTCCAATTAGAATTACAGCATCATGAAAGACAGGACTTTTCTGTTCACCAACCTAGAACAGTACCTGGCACATAAGACACAAACATTTTTGTATCGAATGAATGAATGAATGAATGAATGAATGAATGATTAAACACACTTCTCAATGCACAGCAATTGGGTTTTTGCAAACACTAATCTAGCAAACCTCTTCTAGAAAATATTAAATCCAATAGGTACTTTGCAGTACTGTACTGGATCTCTTTATTCCATTTGGCATTAAATAATTACTCACCCCTCCTTGAAACTCATTACTCCCTTTGCTTCCATGATGTCTATTCTCTTCTAAGTTTTCTCATATCTTTTGAACTGTTACCTTTTTATGTCTTCCCTGAGTTCCGCATCTGCCAAGGCCTTAATAATTGGTATTTCTTTCCTTAGCCCGACTTTTCTCTCTACATCAGTGATTGTCAAGTGGAAGGATGAGCATATGAGAAACAGCAAGGGGGGAGGGGCTTTTGTCAAACTCTACTCCCCAGAGTCTAAGAATCAGTGCCTCTGTGAATCACTATTAACGGAAGGAATTTTTTTAACACTCCAGTGTGCTAGGAAGGCAAAAATGTTGTGAATTCCTTTACCTGCTCTCCTTGGTCTCCCCCTCCACAGTATGCAACGCCTGTACACTACTGATTCCCAAGGTTCTTAGCTACACCCATGAACTCTCCTCTGAGTGAAGACTAATATATTCAAATATATCCACTGTATGTTCCTCAGGAACTTCAAACTAAGTGCTCAAAACTGTTATGTCTCCCACAAAACCTGTTCCTCTTCCTGTGATGCTCTGTAATGAATGCTACCACATGGTCACCACTAAAATAATATGTAAGGTCTCATTAGGATATTTCCAAATATATAGAAAAGCACTCAACATATGAGTTATTATTATTCATGATGCCACCATCTACAGGAAACCCATCCTAAACTTCCAAATTGGACTAAAATTTCTTCCCACAGATCCCTGAGTTTTTCACTTACCAAGCTGTATTATGTTTGCACACCCACAGAGAAATGCTATAATTTCTCTGTGCCTACTAAAATGTGCCTGATCTATAATAAAAAGTTGTTAAATTAAGCTGAACCACAGAGAAACTATATGGCAATATCATATTTTAGCCTCAAATTTCAATTTTGTAGAAGTATTATCACCAGTGATTGTATCATACATAATTCATTTACGATATTTAGCTATCTACAAGAATAACATAGTGGAAACTTTCAAAGCAAAAGTGTGAACAATAGCACAATGCTGAACTGAAACTGAGTACCAGATTTTCTATCACAGAGTCTCTGTCTTGTTTGAAATGTGCAAATGTGGGATTCATTAAGTCCTTTATATTAATTGTATATGGTACTATTGATAAAAGTATCCTACAGTCACAAGCATTCAAATCGGAATAATAATATTAAGGACCACTAAGCATCAGCAGATTGCCAAGGACACAGCTTTTCTACCTGGAAATTACTCTGACAGCCTATTAAAATATACATGGTAACTCTTACGTCTTCAGAATTATATGTAGCAATTAAGAATAAGGCTTGAAAGAAGGTCTAAGACACCAACGAAAATTAAAAATGCAATGCAAGCCCACAGTGTCCATACCTTTAAAATACCATCCAAAGTACCCTTGTAGAGGTCCACATGTCCCACTATTGCCCTCTGGTTCATCATCCGAGTTCGAACCACATCAACTGGATTAGAAGCCAGAGCCCCAGCCAAGCCACATGTAAAACTGGAACTAAAAAATGAAAAGTTCAAGTAAATAGACTGCCCTGCTTCCACTCCTGCCCCCTAAACAGAAATGAGGGCAAACTTAAATGTACAATGAGTCAGACTCATCAGATAAAACTTGGCACTTGCCCTTTCATTATAATCTAAAAAGAAAAAAAATGTTCTAAAGAGACATCATTTAAAGTTGTCCTTTTCACTTTTCAAACTGAAACTTACACACCTTTTTTTTTCTTAAAGGGGGACAATTTAAAAGTATTGCAAGATTTCTAAACAGCAAGTTTCATACATCATATATTAGTTATGTAGATTTTTCAAAACACAGGATCATATGCCAAATGCATTTCAGTAGTAAAATATCATAAAAGTTGCAAGATGAAGAAAATGTAGGATGTGACTGGCAACAGTCTTCAGCCCAAAACTATGTTTTTGTTTCATAGGCCCTATACAATTTGACTTTTTCTGATTCTCATTGAGAAAAGTTTGCTTTCTGTTCTAAAATAAACCAAAGCAAATAACAGATGAGCTTATTATATATAGAGGCTGTGTATGAAAAAATGCAAACACTGACAGAAATCTCACAGGCTGTTGTATTAGATACTGCCCTCAAGTACCAAAACGCCCATAGCATCTGGGATGTAGAATAAAGGTATCAATTCTACATGAGGATTTCAGTGAGATTTTTTGTGTGCTGGTAATATGGCATGAGCACAACCTATCATACTTACACAAAGTGAGTTAAAATTGTGTCTCCCATCACCCCTGACAATATTAAGTGCTTCTTTGTAATATCGTAGACTGGTAGCTCTACTCCCACAACGATAGCAGCCCGCTGAGCAGTTGGAACGACACCCTACAATTAGACACCAAGAAAATACACAGGTAGTGTGGCATAAGTCCAAAAGTGAACAAAATAAATTGTGAGTTAAAAAGTGACAGAAAAATCCAAGTCTGGAGTACAGACATTACTCTTTCAAATCAATGCCTACTACTGGAACAAGTCTGTGAATTACTAAAAACCATTACATTGTACACTTTAAGATGGTGAAATTAATGGTATGTGAATTATCTCAATTAAGATGTTATAAAAAATCAAATAAAGCCATGAAGCAAAAGTCAGTGGGGATGTATCACAGTTATTGATTTGTGGATACTGCACCATCCTTGCATCCCCGGGATAAATCCTACTTGTTCATGGTGTATGATCTGTCTGATGTACTGCTGGATCCGATTTGCTAGAATTTTGTTGAGGATTTTGGCATCTATGTTCATGAGGGATACTGGCCTGTAATTCTCTTTCATTGTGTTGTCTTTATCTGGTTTTGTATTAGGGTAATGCTGGCTTCATAAAATGAGCTTGAAAGTGGAATATATCCCAAGAAACTAGAAACACCAATCAGAAAGGATATATGCACCCCTATGTTCATAGCGGCACAATTTACCATAGCTAATATTTTGAAACGGCCTAAGTGCTCATCAGCAGATGAGTGGATTAAAAAACTGTGGTACATCTACTCAATGGAATACTACGCTGCAATAAAAAAGAAGGAATTCTTACCATTTTCAACAGCATGGATGGGACTGGAGAGCATTATGCTAAGTGAAATAAGCCAGTCAGAGAAAGATAAATATCACATGATCTCACTCATTTATGGAATATAATGAACAACATAAAGTGATGAACAAAAACAGACCCAGAGACAGAGAAACATCAATCAGATGCTCAAACCTCAGAGGAAAGGTAGGGGAGGGTGGGGGTAAGGGGGAGAGATCAACCAAAGGACTTGTATGCATGCATATAAGCATAACCAATGGACATAGACACCAGGGGGTGAGGGCATGAGTGTGGGGGGCGGCAATGGGGTGATAAGGACACATATGTAATACCTTAATCAATAAAGAAAAGAGAGAGAAAAAAGTCAGTGGGGAGAGAAGCACTTCCAAGTTTAATTCACAGAATTTTAGGATATGCAGAAAGAACACACTAGGATGCCAGCAAAGGTATGCTGCAGCTAGGGAGAAGGCCAAGGCAAAAGCAATACTTCCTTATAAATCCTCCTGGGATAATACTACCAGAGTTTCACTCAATAGCATATTACAGCTCACATTATAGTGCAGGGCTGCTAGAGCATTAAAAGTCATATTTTGAAGACTACTGACAAGAAAATACTTATGATATAACCTTAAAGAAGGCATCACATAAAATTACTATTGTACTATTCTAACTTAGGGAAAAAGGTATGTGCACACACCAAATTTTTGTAAAGGATTAGAGGGAAATACACCAAAATATTTTTCTTCATCTGGGATTAGGATAATTTTATTTTTATATCTATCTATATTTTAAAAATCACAATGAATGTTTTACTTTTATTTTTTAAATTTATTTATCTTTATTGTTGAGGGTACTACAGATGTCCCCATTATCCCTCCACTTTCTTTCTCCGTCTGGTTCCCACCCCAACCCAGGCCTTCACCACAAATGTTTTACTTTTATAAGTAAACTAGAGGCCCAGTGCATGAAATTCGTGTGTGTGTGTGGAAGGGGGTCTCCTCGGCCCAGCCTGTATGTACCCTCTTGCAATCCGGGGCCTCTTGGGGGATGTCGGTTTAGGCCCGATCCTAAACTGGCAGTCGGACATCCCTCTCGCAATCCGGGACCACTGGCTCCTAACTGTTCGACTGCCTGCCTGCCTGATTGCCCCTTACTGCCTCTGCCTGCTTGCCTGATCACCCCTAACCACTCTTCCTGCCTGCCTGATCACCCCTAACTGCTCACCTGCTTGCCTGATTGTCCCTAACCGCCTCTGCCTGCCTGCTTCATTGCCCCTAACCACTCTGCCTGCCTACCTGATCACCCCTAACTACTCTACCTGACTGCCTGATCACCCTTAACCACTCTGCTTGCCTGCCTGATTGCCCCTAACAACTCTGCCTGCCTGCCTGATCGCCCCTAACCACTCTGCCTGTTACCTGATTGCCCCTAACCACTCTGCCTGCCTGCCTGATTGCCCCTAACTACTTGCCTGCCTGCCTGATTGCCCCCAACCTCTTCTGCCTCGGCCACCGCTGCCACAGCTTCATCTGGAAGGTCGTCCAGAATGACGTCTGGAAGGTCGTTTGACTGTCTGGTCTAATGAGCATATTACGCTTTTATTATTATAGATTGTGTTTAAATTTCATTGAAAATTGAACATAACATACTGTAGGGACAACTGCTTTCTGGAAGACCTGTTATATTATTCAATCATCTCTAAATTTCCTAACTCGCCCTAGCTGGTTTGGCTCAGTGGAAAGAGCGTCAGCCCGCGGACTGAAGGGTCCCGGGTTCAATTCTGGTCAAGGGTACATGCTTGGGTTGCAGGCTCGGTCCCCAGTTGGGGGCATGCAGGAGGCAGCTGATAGGTGATTCTCATCATTGGTGTTTCTCTCTCTCTCTCTCCCTCTCCCTTCCTCTCTAAAACCAATAAAAGTATATATTTTTAAAATTCCTAACTCAATGTATACAATGGAAGTAATATAGCTGTGCTGTCACCATGTTTTATTCTGCTGATCGGGCTGACTGGCCCAACAATGCCTTCCTCTCTGACCCGTCCATCTGCTCAACTCTGTTAGAAGATGACCTTTACAGAAGACTACTTTGGTGAAGACTAAGGCCCCAAACTGGAGTCCATGGGCTGAATTCAGACATGTTTTGTTTCACCAAACAGTGTTTCTAGAAGGCTGAATAAACTGTCAACATATAAAAAACCAGGACACTTCACATAGAAACGCAGATTTGCAGCTTCTCTTGCAAATCCAGAAAACTTGGCAACACTGAATTCACATCACACATGGCAACAATGAGTGAGGCAGGTGCTCTCCAGTTACCAAAGTCCCCACCACTCTATTGTCTTCCCAAAGCTGACATTAGTGCCAGTTACGCTTTATTGTTGTATTCATGTGATTATTTCTCCCAATGGAGTAGGGAAGAAAGTGAAATGTTTCCAGTATCCATATTGTAATCAAAGCAGGGAAATAAATCATAAACAAAGAGGACCATGTGTTTGAAGAAAAATGCAGACATATTTCTCTTTGAAATGAAAAAATAATTCTGTACTTAATATGCAAATAACATGTCCGTGTCAAAAGAATACATAACACAATGTACATGCCTGGATGATGTAAGTAGCCTGGATCATAAAAGTATCTATGTTCAGTTCCTCAAAAAATTAAACATAGAATTCCCATACAATCCAGCAATCCCACTTTTGGGTATATACATAAAAGAACTGAAGTCACAGTCTTCACTCACCCATGTCCATAGCATTATTATTCATAAGAGCCAAGGTACAGAAACAACCTAAATGTCTATTAACAGATGAGCAGATAAATATACACAATAGACTATTACTCAGCCTTAAAAAGGAAATAAATCCTGATACATGTGACAACATGAATAAACCTGGAGGGGCACTATGCTAAGTGAAATATGCCAGTCACAAAATGACAAAAGTATGATTCCACTTATATAAGGTATCCAGTATAGTCAAATTCATATAGACATAAGGTATAAGGTTGTGAGGAAGGGGAGAATGGGGAATTGCTTAATGGGTACAGAGTTCCAGTTTTGCAAGATGAAAAGAATTCTGGAGCCTGGTTGCAGAAAAATGTAAATGTACTCCACACAACTGAAGTTGAAATCGTTAAGATGGTAAATATTGTTATGTGTATTTTACCACAACTAAAAGTTTTAATTAAAAATTAAGTAGCTATGTTCCCCTGACCAAATCTTCAATTCTATTTATTGCTGTCTTTAGCCTTACTTTGTAAAAAAAATTCTAGCTAGTTCCATTTTCTGGTTTTAAATTGAACTAATCAAGAAATGGCACCCTGCTATTATTAAAAAGCAAATCTCAAAGATCATTAATAGATACCAAAACCATTAGGTGAAAGGTTATTAGATAATAGGATACATGCATGATGCAAGAATATAACCCTACAGACTACTTGCTAATTGCCAATGGTGAAACAACTTATCTTTTATGATGGTGAGATCTAGTAGACATCATCTTACCAAGTAATCAAACTTGACATCACTAACTATGGAATAACTCAACATCATCTGCCTGTTAGTATGTTGCATATGAAATACAGTCTTACCCATGAACTTCTCTTACCAAAAACATTTAACATGAATCTAATCAAGCCAACAGACTTAACTTCCAGTTTACAGAAAGTACAGAGGAAATATGAGGAATCATTTTATAAGAAAGCTAGCCTGGACTCATCAATAAAGGAAATTTGAATATGGGCTGGATGTTAGGTATTAGGGACTTACTGTTAATTTTCTTAGGTGTGATAAGGGTATTATTATTATGTAGGAGAATGTCCGTATTCTTAAGAGATATATAATGAAGTATTTAGGGGAATGCCATGATGTCTGCAATTTCCTTTCAAATAGCTTAGCAAAAAGAAAAAGGGTATATATACATACATAAATAGATAAAGCAAATATGGCCAAACTTTAACAGTCATTTAATCCAGGTATATAGGTATTCATTGTTCTATTCTTTCCACTTTTCTGTATGTTTGAAATTTTTTTAAGAAGAAGTTGGGGGAAATTATAAAGGAAGAAAAACAACGAAGTTCTCTTTTTTAAGAGTCTATTAATAGAATTTCCCATTCTACTCTCTGCATATTCTACTAGTAGTCTTAATACTAAGTGGTTAAAATAGGATAAATCATTATATGCAAACAACAAAAAAAGAAGTATGGATAGAAGACTGAAAGATAATAAGACAAAATGTTAAAAGTGATTATCTCTAGCTAGTGGGACTTGATGGATTTTTTCTCACTTATATATTTTCTCAATATTTTACAGTGCATCTTTTACCTTTAAAAAGGTTTAAAAAGGTTGTTTTAGGCAACAACTTTAGAACGTAAGCATTACAGAGGTATCATAAACAGACATTGCTGTGTCAGTACAAAACTGGCAAAAAATAGATATTGAAGAACTAATTCACTGTGAATTTGAACAAATCAAAATGCTATCTCAAATAATGTAATATCTTCTCTCACATACATAACCCCCAAACATTAAGTAGAAATAAAGACAACTGATAATTTCTGGTCCTTTCATAGGTGATAAGGAGCTTCTTACCTTATTTTTTAGGTTAACAAGAATCTTACACAATATAAGATGACAGTTCACAATTGTATGGCTTTATATATAAAAAAGTATTCTTTGCAAATTCTAGAAACTGAGTATACAACAATATTAGGAAATTGTACTCACCCTCCACAGACCCTTGGTACCTTCCTGCTGGTATATATCAATGAAGCTGCCAATCATGCTGCCTTGAAACAAGCTTCCCTGAGCCTGCATTCGAATCTAAAATAAGAAAAGGTGAACATTTTGTTTTGACTGGAAGAACAAAACTGAGATATTTCACTCATTTAACATTTAAGAAAATAGTTTTTGGGGATTAAAGAAAAATCAGGCCCAGCCAGCATGGCTCAGTGATTGAGCATCAACCTATGAACCAGGAGGTCACAGTTCAATTCCCAGTCAAGGCACATGCCTGGTTGCGGCTAGATCCCCAGTGTGGGGCATGCAGGAGGCAGCCTATCAGTGATTCTCTCTCATCATTGTTGTTTCTATTTCTCTCTTCCTTTCCCTTCCTCTCTGAAATCAATAAAAAATTTTTAAAAAATTAAAATGAACCTGCTATTATTATGAAGTTAATGACTTAAACTATATATAGAAAGTACCTATAATAATAAGAGCATAATATGCTAATTAGACCAGACATCCTTCTGGACGACCTTCCGGATGAAGCCGGGGCTGCAAGGGAAGCCCAGGTCCTGGGTGCCTGCCAGCAGCCAGAGGGAAGACCGTTTCCCGGGTGCCAGAGGGAAGCCGGTGCCGGCAGCCAAGGGAAGGCAGGCCTGCTCTTGCACGAATTTCATGCATAGGGCCTCTAGTATCTTATAAAGATGATTTAATCAGCCTCACATTCCTCATACGTAGGTCTATCATTTCTGGAGTTGAAAAAAAACTTGAGGAAAAGAACGAACAAGTACTCAGTGTAGGTAGAAAACAATTCATTTAAAATTTAAGTAATTTAGTGAAAAATTAAAACAGTCTACATGTCCAAAACCCACAAAGGATTGGCTGAATAAATGTATGGTGCATCCATTCATTTAATGGAATACTGTGCAGTCATGAAATTATGTTGTAGAATAATATTTGACATTGAAAAAATGTCAACAAGTAATCGCTAAATAGAAAAAAAAAACAAGGCTGCAAAGCTGTGTGTGTATGCTATATAATTTTTATTAAAAGCATGTTAACTTAAAATAAGCCATATGCACAACAAAGAGAGTGGATGAACATACACACGCAAATGTGGACCATGGCTTAAGTCTGAGAGATGAGGCTATCCGTGAGCATTTTTCCCCCTTTTTGCTTTTTCTGCATTCCACTTTTTTTCTACATTTAACATGCACTGCTTATGTAATTATAAAAAGAAAAAATGTTTTAATGTAATTTTATGCTATAAGACATTAAACTGAATTTGTAAAAAAGCATAATACTATATTCTGCAAAGAAAAATCAGCCTGCTATTATTATGAGAAGAGCACAAGAAAGGAGATAGAGCACTCTGCACACACAGAATCACAGGAGTTGTGCCCTAGCCAGTTTGTTTCAGTGGACAGAGCATCAGCCCATAGACCAGTGGTTCTCAACCTTCCTAATGCCGCGACCCTTTAATACAGTTCCTCATGTTCTGGTGACCTCCAACCATAAAATTATTTTCATTGCTACTTCATAACTGTTATTTTGCTACTGTTATGAATCATAATGTAAATATCTGATATGCAGGATGTATTTTCCTTATTACAAATTGAACATAATTAAAGCATAGTGATTAATCACAAAAACAATATGTAATTATATATGTGTTTTCCGATGGTCTTAGGCGACCCCTGTGAAAGGGTCGTTTGACCCCCAAAGGGGTCGCGGTCCACAGGTTGAGAATCACTGCCATAGACTGACCTGTCCCAGTTCGATTCAGATCAAGGGCATGTACCTTCGTTGCAGGCTCAATCCGGGCCCTGGTCAGGGAGCGTGTGGGAGGCAACCAATCAATGTGTTTCTCTCACATTGATGTTTCCCTCACTGTGTCTCTCCCCCTCACTCTCTCTAAAAATCAATGGAAAAATATCCTCAGATGAGGATTAACAACACACAAAAAAAGAATCACAGGAGTCATCACTAAATACTAGTGACCCAAATGTAGCCCTGATTTTCATGAAGCAAAACTCTAGGTTTCCATAAATATCATGTAATAGCAACATGTCTCTATGTAGAAAATCAACTGCTACTACTAAGAGTTGAAATAAAAACCTTAACCAAATTATATCAGAATAGAAATCACCACAAAGACAAGCTGAAACCACAAATACCATATGATAAGTACAAGATTTCTTTAAGGAGATGATTCCTGAGCAGGTCTCGGACTAGGGTGGAGCAACAAGCAGGGCACTTCCCTCAGGCACAAAATGTAGGAGGAAAACACAAAAAACTTCAGTAATCCAGATAAATAACATCTTAATGAAACATTTTTTTAAAAATCAAAATTAATGCACAAAAACCAACAATGAACCAAATATCAAAATTGCAACTAAAATAGGATCCAACACAGTGGGATTAAGGTGAGGCAAGGAAGATAAATTGTACAAAATATTTATATTCTAGTCACCATTAATTTTTTGCATTCATCTTAATTTCTGAAAAATATTGCATAAAAACATTATCTCTTGATTACTGAGTTTTTTGGTACCTCCTTACATGTTGCAACCAAAGAGATTGCCTTACTTGTCTCGTCCTAGTCCTGGCCCTGTTCCTAAGAAGTCTTGAAGGATAAATTCATAAGGAAAGGGGGGGGGTAAGCAACTGAGGCAGAAACAGAACTACATGCACAAAGGCGAAGAAGCAACACATAGTAAATCAGAGAAAGAGCTGTCCAAGGATAAAAGGATTGAACAGCCCAACTGTGATTATAAATCTTATATTGTTACCATCACAGTCTAAGTTTGTGATCTGGGATTCTCTCATGCTTTTTATCATATATTTAGTGTTTTTAATTAATCTGATTATTCTGATTCATTATACATTTAAATAAGTTAAGTAGAAAATGCCTTTTAATGAGATAAAATAAGGTGAAGATTTATATTAAAATAAATGTTTCATTCTGTGTTTTGATAAAATCTGAAAGCAATCCATATTTTGAAAACTCAGCACCACTAACCTATATTGTTCTGTTTCTGAATTCAGAATATCCCAACGCAAGCCAAAATATGCATACCATTTTAAAGCCAAATCTCACTCTTAATAGAAATATGGATAAGGCAGGAAAAGACAGAAGCATTATAGACTTAAGGTACCTCAATTAGGTACTCAAAGAGGCTTTTCCAAAAACTACCTTTCAATTTATTCCTTTGTTCGGTTCCATAGGTTACACCACAGGTCAATATACCATACTAAGCTCTAGAAGGGGTAAAGGATATGCCTTTCTTTTGTAAAGTGGGGAAAGGACTATTATATATACAAGTTCTCCCTCAGATCACTTTTAGAAAAGAGTACAAATAGAAGTAGGGATCTTGAAATTGATTTCCTTAAAATTGCTAGCCCTTGGAAAAAACCTATAAAAGGTTTCAATATTCTAGTTTGAAGACCAATGGATTAATGCATACCTTAACAAATTGACTACTATTTATTGAGCATCTGCTATGAACAAGTACAATGACAGGCAGTTTATATATATTATCTATAATCCTTAACAACCTTATGTGATTAAGTACTGAATTATCTTCATTTTACAAATGAGAAAACTGAGGCTTAAAGCAATTAAGTGATTTACCCAAAGTTTTACAGCTGACAAGTGACAGAGTGGGGAATCTGACTCAAGACTCATGCTCTTTTCACATCACACTGCACATCCAAAGCTACCAGGCCTCTCTTACCTTTAGTACATCGGTGGGATTGGCTATAGTGGAAGATATCACTCCTGACACTACCCCACAGATCATATTAATTAGAAGAGTTTCATCTGTAAAAAGGAGGGGGGAGAAAGAAAGAAAGAACGAAATGTCTGCTTGTATTAGGTACCAGTTTCTGAGAACGGAGTACTGAGCTATCAAAGGAAGGGAAAACTAGTCAGAGAAATGACTGTAGAAATGAACTACAAAGCTTATGAAAATGAACACATATTTCTAGATCTCAAATCAGTACTGAAACGTATAAAACTGTAATACATAAATCATTTTTAAAAAAAACTATTTCTAAAGGACACTGGAACATGTTCTATTATTATATGTAACTGCTAATTACACACACAAATTCAAATGTGGTATTTTACTTTTCAATCATTTCAAACATCTAAAGAAAACTATTTTTAAGTCTTTTTCTGGAAAATCATCAACTCAAAAGACTCAGGACTGAATGTTAAGAGATAAATGATACTCACTTATTATATGGAATATAATGAACAAAATAAACTGACGAACAAAATAGGTCCAGAGTCATGGATGCATGGAACAGAATGACAGATCTCAGTGTGGAGGGGGGTGGAGGGGATGGGAAGAGATTAATCAAAGAACACATGCACATATACATAAACCAGGGACACAGAAAATAGTATGAGGAAGGCCTGGGGTGTAGGGGGGCAAAGGGTGGGGAAAAGGGGATATCTGTAATACTGTCAACAATAAAGTTTTTTAAAAGATAAAATCTTTACCCTTGCCAGTTTGGCTCAGTGGATAGAGCGTCTGCCTATGGACCGAAGGGTCCCGGGTTCGATTCCGGTCAAGGACATGTACCTCGGTTGCAGGCTCCCCCCTGGCCCAGGCCTGGTCAGGGTGCATGCAGGAGGCAACCAATCGATGTGTTTCTCTCACATCAATATTTCTCTCTGTCTTTCCCTCTCTCTTCTACTCTCTCTAAAAAATCAATGGAAAAATATCCTCAGGTGAAGATTTAAAAAAAAGATAAAATTTTTGTCTAATAGAAAAAATTGTCGAAATATTAATTGTGATTGGCCTCAATATCTATTAGCCTCAATATCTACTAGCCTCTATTTATTTACAGGAGATTTCTATAATCAAATGTGAAAAACTGGTCATTTGGAAGTAAATCCCCTCAGCTACCAAAAACAAAACAAAACAAAACAGAAAACCCACAGAGCCCCTGGCCAGATGGCTCAGTGGGCTGGAGCATTATTCCATGCATCAAAAGGTTGCGGGTTTAATTCCTGGGCAGGGCATATACCTAGGCTGCATGGTCAATCCCCGGTCAGGGCACATACAGGGGGCAACCTATTGCTATTTCCCTCTCACATAAATGTTTCTTTCTCTCTTGCTCTCTCTCCCTCTAAAATCAATAAAAACAGTCCTAGCTGGTTTGGCTCAGTGGATAGAGCTTCAGCCTGCAGACTGAAGGGTCCCAGGTTTGATTCCGGTCAAAGGCACATGCCCAGTTTGCAGGTTCGAATCCCAGTAGGGGGCATGCAGGAGGCAGCCGATCAATGATTGTCATCATTGATGTTTCTCTTCTCCCTCTCCCTTCCTCTCTGAAATCAATAAAAAATATCAGTTTAAAAGATAAATAAATCAATAAAACCAATAAAAACATATCCTCAGATAAGGATTTAAAAAACACACACACAGAGCATATTTTTTCTGAAGTTAAAATGCAATCTTCACCATGCCTCTTCATCATGAAGAGCCCACAAATAGAAACGAGGTAAACCCAAGTGAACAATCTGTCTCCAACCATGCAACAGTTCCAGGCCTGTGGTAAAATAACCACTTAGTACAGCATCAGGCTGGAAATGTTGCAGCAGCAAATACAAGGCCATATAATAATGCTGACTGCGGATAAGGTGGCCCTAGGTACATCAGCATCTAAAATTACTCCACCTAACAAACGTTTGTCAAACTCAGCAGCTAGAAAAGTCCTTATAGTGGAAGTCCTCTTGTTGACGAGAACAGCATTAATTTTCTGGACAAGCTTATTCCATGTTCCCTGTGATGGCCAGAAGCCTTTTTTTCCCTTTGACAGGAAAAAGAACAAACTTGAAGAGCAGATCCCTCTAACACATTATCACCTCTACAAGGATTAATCCCAAATGAATACAAGCTCACTTTGTCCTTGCAATGACTGTCACCCATTCTCACCCAAAATGAACACTTTCTCACGAAGCATGATTTCAATAATCCCCTTGAGTATTACCCCCAAAGAAAATGAGGAGTCTATACTGACCTTCTAAACGTTCTACAAATAATCTCTTCAAGCTTTGATAAATGCCAATTTTAATGGTGCCATATGATGCCTGTCTTAGTAAAGCAGGAGCAATTCTGCCCAAAAAAAGGGGGAAAAGTCAATTATATTCAACATGTCCTTGCAAATTATACATGTCTAGACAGATTACTCATTTCCATTAGCTATTTCATTCTACCAAAAGCAAAATATATATATTTTCAAGCACCCATGGAACATTCACCAAGAGAGCATTTTAGGGTACTAAAATAAACCTCAACAAACTTTTAAAAATTGAAATCATATAGGTTATGTTCTCTGGCCATAATGGAATTAAACTAGAAATCAAGAAGGAAAATCCTTCAACATTTGGAAATTAAACAGCACACTTCTAAACAATCCATGGATCATAGGAAGTCTCAAAGGAAATTTTAAAAATACATAGAACTGAATGAAAATGAAAAATTCACCCTTTAAAATACGTGCGATACAGCCAAAGCAGTGCTGAAAGAGAAATTTATAACACAAAACACTTAGATTAGGAAAGAGAAAAAGCCTCAAATCAATCATCTAAATTCCTTCCTCAAGAAACTAGAAAAAGAGCAAAATAAATCCAAAGCAAGCAGAAGGAAGGCAATAATAAAGAGCATAACTTAATAATAAAATTGAAACAGGAAAATTGAGAAAATCAATGAAACAAAAAGTCAGCTCAAAAAGTCAAAATATTAGCAAATTGAATCCAGCAATGTACGAAAAGTATACACCATTACCCGCATCATAGGTACAGTCTTAAAAATCAACCTTACTTCCTAACAGTTGCAGATACATCTTTCATCCTTTCAAGAAGGCGGTACCAAGGCCAAGAATTCACCCTATTTAAGTTATAAACTGGTGACATTCTCACTCTTGTGTCCTTTGAGATCCTTCCAAATTACAAAACTATATTTTAGTAGTTATAAATAGAAAGACAGCAGAAGCTCAGCCAGTTAGGGAAAAAATGATGGATAAATATGCATATTTCTGACTTTATTTGCTTACTATCAGAAAAAAATAATCTTGTGATTATCCATGCTGATGAAAGAATATGGATGTATTACTTGATTTTCCCCCAAGAAAATTCTTTGAAATTCAGCCTAACATAGATTAGTAATAAAATTGATGTCTATTCTGTGAATAATAAACTGGTAGCCTAGATGCAGGAGTAGCCTTAGGAAACTGGCAGCAGATAACAAACTGGACAATAAACTACAAAGATATGGCTAATCAAAAGTTGACCCCTAATAGCTGCACACACTTATAAATGAACACAAAATCCAAAGCTCAAGGCTTTAAGCAAGTGAAATATAAATTGACACATCAATATTCAATTACAAGTTGAAATGGTGAATATGAACAGCATAAACTATCAGACAGCTAAAATATGTGACATCTTTAAAAACTATTTCTATTCATAATGGAAGGTAAGAATCCAGTTTTACCCTGAATACAAAGCCAATACACCTTCTTCTTTATAGATTCGGAACAAGGCATGAAACATTCCTCGGTATTTTATCTCTTTGAAGCGGGCATCAATGCTTTGGCCTTGAACCTGCAGTCGAGTTTTGGTTAGGTCCACAGGAAAAGTGCCTATAAAGAACACACTCATTTATAAGTTTTTTCAAGGAATCACAGTTAACTGTTGGCTGAATGTATGCAAATGACATTTTTTCCCTTTATTTTATTACTAGAGGTCCGGTGCATGACATTCGTGCACTGGGGGGGTAGGGTCCCTCAGCCCGGCCTGTGCCCTTTCACAGTCCAGGAGCCCTCAAGGGATGTCCGACTGAAGGTTTAGGCCTGCTCCCCACCTAAGCAGGCAGTCGGACATCCTTAGCACTGCCGTGGTGGTGGAAGAGGCTCCCACCACCACCACTGCACTCACCAGCCATCAGCTTGACTTCTGGCTGAGTGGCACTCCCCCTGTGGGAGCGCACTGACCACCAGGGGGCAGCTCCTGCATTGTGCATCTGCCACCTGGTCAGTGCGCATCATAGTGACCTGTTGTTCCTCCGTTTGGTCGATTTGCATATTACCCTTTTATTATACAGGATTTTTTCCCCAATCGCCATTTATTCCCCATATACCCTCTTCCACCTCCACCAATCTTCCTCCCTGCCATGAAGTCACCACACAATTGGCCAATGATATTTTTTTAAAACATAAGACAAATTTTTCTTATAACACATAGAAGAACACTCGAATACCACTGTCTTAAGTCATGTCTTGTAAGTGGTAAAGTGAAATGCACTGTATTCTATCTGGTCAACAGGATTTTACCCATAGTATAATTGAAATTGTAATATAATAAAGTGCTTTTAAGATTGTCCTTATATATAGTAAAGGCAAAATAATTTAAATGTTTTAATTTCATGTGTTACATACAATCTGGCATTTATCTCTGTCTCTTCCTTCTGCCCACTTCAAGTCTCCCCACTTCTCCCTCTAAAAATCTTCCTAAATTTTAACAAAGAAGATACGTACTGTGGTATGTATAAATTGATGTTAGTTTTACAAACTAACAAATTGATAATAAATTTTAATTAGCTAATGTGGAAAAAAAAAAGCTTTCTAAGTTTGACTTAACTTCACTTTCCATACCATTAATAGTACTTTCCCAGAAAATGTTAATTGATGGCTTTCAGACAATAGTTTTTAAAACAAACAGGGCCTTTCTTTTTTCTCTTTCTCTAGCATTCACCAAAAGTTGCCATTTATACCATAAGAAGCAGATTTTTCAGTTTTCACATTCTTACCAAATTCCGCAACAATAGAGGCAAGGCCGCCATATACAAAGGGTTTCCAATTCAGACCAGACATCTCATGGCTTCCAGTGTCACTTTTCTGATGCTAAAAATAAACATAAATCAGAACAAGGCACAAGAGTAAGGAGTATCTATCAGTGTCTGATCACATAACACACATCAACAAATTTGGCAAATAAAACAGACATAGAAGAACAACCCTACCAAATGGAATGACAAAAAAATGGGGGATCCCGTTTTATGTGGTAGATGATCATGAATGTGTTTACTGCCACATAGTGGCAGGGGTGAGAATCACTCAAAGATCAACCTGTGCCCTTCATTCTAATTTAATTTTATCCCCATCCCCACCCAAAGAAGTTCCAGACCATCCAGCACACACAACTTAGACATTCAACTAGACAATTACTAGTGAAGGAACCTGGAGTTCAAATTATATAGGCCGAGGCATCTCATAAAAGCAGTTCATGCTATTCAGTCACATTTATTCGTGTGCAAAACACAGCTGACACCACTACCCTCACATATACTTAGCCCTCTCATCTTACCACTAAACTTTACGGTTTTAGTTCATGTATCTCATTCTAGCTATCCACAACCCTCCCCCCCGCCCTGCCCCACTAGGTCCAGGCTGAGTTAAACACCTTTTCACCTTCCGATTCCCGAAGGAATGACAGAAATATCCTATCTTTCTTCTCTGTGACATTTAACATCCAGTGAATCTTCTTTTCCCTGGCCTTTTAAAGCACATGCATACAAATGTTGTTTTTCTTTGAGTTCAGGTTCTTTAACAAGGTATTCTACTCTTCATCTCCTTTTCTTCCTTTCTCATCCCACCCCCAGTAGACTTGTCATCTTCAATCATTTCAAGTTTTTTTCCCTGCCACTCTCAGCTCTCTCTCTTGAATTTTTTCCTTATAGTTCTGCCCTCTAGATCAGTGATTTTCAAATTTTAATGTGCACCAAAATCATCTAGAAGGTGGATTAAAAAATAGATTGTTGGGCCTCACCCTCAGGGTTTCTGATTGGTGGTCTGGGTCTGGACTATTTGCAAGTTTCCAAATAATGCTGATGCTAAAAAAAGACACAGCCAAATAATGCTGATGCTTCCACACGTTAAGAACTACTACTCTTGGCATCACCTACTAAATCCTAGTCCAGCTGAAATTACCTCTTAAGTTGAACTCTCGGATTTCTTTATTCCTTTTTCAGCGCTTCACAGATGTATATTATTGAATTTCAAAAGCAACTTCAAGTAGTTTATAGTCAGGAATGAAGACTCTGAAATCAAACTGCCTAGGTTCAAGTCCTGACAACAACACATATTAGTTCTGTGATCTTGGGCAAGTTATTTAACCACTCTATTTCTGGGTTTTCTGAACTATAAAATGGGGATAATAATAAATACTATATTATAGGGTTGTTGTGAAAACCCTATGTAATAAAGAGGTGATATGCAAATTGACCATCCCTCCAACACACAAGATGGCCGCCCCCCATGTGGACAAAAGATGGCCAACAGGGGAGGGCAGTTGGGGGTGACCAGGCTGGCAGAGGAGGGCAGTTGGGACAATCAGGCCAGCAGGGGAGGGAAATTAGGGGTGACCAGGCTGGCAAGGGAGGGAAGTTAGGAGTGACTGGGCCAGCAGGGACGGGCAGTTGGGGGCAACCAGGCCGGCAGGGGAGGGCAGTTAGGGGTGACCAGGCCGGCAGGGGAGGGCAGTTAGGGGTGACCAGGCTGGCAGGGGAGGGCAGTTAGGGGCAATCAGGCCAGCAGGGGAGCAGTTAGGCATCGATCAGGCTGGCAGGCAAAAGCAGTTAGGGGTGATCAGGCAGGCAGGCAGGCAGGCGAGCAGTTGGGAGCCAGCAGTCCTGGATTGTGAGAGGGATATCCCAGATTGGAGAGGGTGCAGGCTGGGCTGAGGGACACATCCCCCACCCTCGTGCACGAATTCATGCACTGGGCCTCTAGTTAAATAATATAATGTAAAACACCTAGAAAAGCACTTGGAACCTAGTTCAACAACTATTAGTTTTTATCATTATTACATTTTGAAAACTTAAATACTCCAATATACATTTTCACAGATATTACTTGCTGTCTACTTCCCCCATTGCCCAATCTGGGGTTAGCACCTTTGAGTTGCATTCTCTTTTTTAGTGGAGGCAAGGTTTTGCTTTGTTTCCACATAAGGAATTCTCTGTAACTAAGCACAGAACAATTTTCCAGAGAGGATAGTAAACTGCAGACAAATGTTTTAGTTAGAGGTCACAAAAATAATTATGGAAAGTTTCTTTCAAGCATAGTGTGATCAGCCAGTTCATCTGACATAGAGTCTCAAATAGATAGCCCTTTTGGAGGAAAGTTGTTGGAAAGAATTCTGAAGAGCAAAGAAGGAATAAGTACTTCACATAGCTGCTGCTTAAAATTAGAGTCTTCAGTACTAAATGCTATCTTATCAACTGATAGCAAAGCATGACACATACAGTGAGAGGGTAGGCATGGAAAAGCAAGAACCATATTCCCTCTCTGAGTCTGTGGGGGAAAATGCCCTCTCCATTGACCAATTTATAGGCCCCCTAAAACAGCCAAACATTTCAAATGGCTGCTATGCTTCTCTCCAAAGCTTTATCTTTACAGATTCTTTGAATTTTCTCATTATAAGAGAAAGCCTCTATCAGAATTTTACTACCTGCTATCTAGCCTTTTAATAAGGCAGATATGTTCAGGGTTCAGGCTTCAATAATAATTCAGTTAAAGGCAGGGGCAGAGCCAAAGCAGAGCAAAAAGACCAGCCACTAAATCTTAGGTCAGTTGCTCAGTGGTTCCTTAATGAAGTTTTCACAATTCTGAGGTGAAATGAACAAGAGTACCTAGTGCTTTTTTTCAGTCCAATATATTTCATTTAAAGGATTATTAGGAAATCATGTTCTTCCAGTACCTGGAACATTTTTTTAAAATCACTTCTCTTGTATGAGGTAATAGCAGTAATTGGTAGTTAATTGTGCTTAATGCCTTAACAAAATAAGACTGGCAACCCTAATTTGTGCCTCCTACTCACACTTTCATTTAAATTTTATTGGTCTATGAAATCCAAAAGTCTGGGAACCACTGGCCAAATTAACACTGCTACCACTCCTACCGCTCCACTCCCATGTAATAGTAAAATCCCTTTCCTTCTAATGTTAGGAAAGAATCCTGCTATGAAGAAGTCCTGTATTATGTTTAACTAGGTCTTATTTTAGATATTCCTTCCTCCTACTGAGCCAAAAGTCTGCCTTCCCGTAGTTTTCACCCATTTTTGGAGGTAATATTGGACAAATTTAGTCTTTTTCCCTGGGGAAGTCCTTCCAATATTTAAAGACAGATATCATGCTCTCTCTCCTACATCTTATCTTTTTCAGGCTACATAACCACAATTATTTTCATTATTATACTTCAATTATTATAGCTGAAAATTGCAGTTGCTTTTGTGGAGGCCACATCACACTAATGCATCATTAAAATGTCAGCTCAAACCTCCAACTCTTTTAAGGCTATTAACAAGCATGTATGTTATGACATAGCTATTCAACAGTTGTGCAATGTTTTCTGAATCTTCTTTTTTCCCTTCTATATCTTAACCTCAGGTATACAAATAATGGCTAGGATGAGATTTTTCTTCTAGTTGCCCATGTTATTTTTCTCTCTTAACTAGGTTAAGATCCCTGAAGGCAGAAAGCATGTCTCATAGCACTTTTTATAACCCCTACAATAGCTTGAACAGAATTGGGTACACATCCATTAAATACATGGTTGGCTCCAGTGTGATGTGCTTTATCTATATATGCAGCCTGTATGTAAAAGATTACAGGAAAAATCATGAAAGTTAAGTTGCTGGGCCAGACCAACACTACATACTGGATACACGACACTTTGCTGATCCTCAGAGATTCTCTGCCTATTAATTCTCTTCCCTTGATTTTGTTGCAGATAATTACATGTGTAAAATACCCCCAGCATCTAACAATGCCTTTGACTTGTGGGGTCTATCCCCAGATATGGGTAAAAGGAGAAAAGTCATATCTGAGTTAAAATAAAAATAGAGTACCTTATATATTTTTATTGTATAAAATAAAAATATTGTATGAAAAATATCTTCAAAATGCACAAACATATTCTGAAGTTTGACTAAGGAAAATCTGATATACTAAAGAGTGAAAAGAATGTCCTAAAATACGAGTTACATAGCCCTGCACTACTCCAAAAATCTGATGAGAAAAATCTGGGTGCCTTTCTTGCTTTCTCTTTTAAGAAAGAGTAGGCATCAGATTCTTAGCTTCAAGAGATAATAATGAAGAGTAAAGCAAATATTTATTGAAGGAACATTAAATACCCAAACCTGCAATGTGCTCTAGTCTAAATTTGATGTTTTGTTTAAAAAAACAAAAACAAAAAAAAAACAGAACAAATGTTCTAACACCTTAACAATATTTATCATTTAACCTATACTTCCTGGATAATCAAGGAGAATAAGGTGGTGATAAAGGTTCTATAAAATACAGTGCTTGCCTTTCAATAACTTATAATCTGGTAGAAGAAATCAGAGTCGTTCATTAAAGAAAAGTTAAGTGCTAAACTATATAATACAAACTATAAGAGCAAAATAAGCATGGAAAAGGAGACAATCAGCATGGGCCTACATAATTTGGAAAGGCTGGTGAAATTGAGAGAATTTAAAATGGGCCTTGGCACAAAGCAGGATAGGTGTAGGTAAGGAAAAAGGCAGGGGGAGGAGAGCAGAATGAACAGACACACAAATGTGGGGGAAAGCACAGCACACGGAGGCAAACATCAACATGGTTTGCTCTGAGAAGAGTGCAACCTAAATGGAACAGAAAATTCCCTTACGTCATTGAAATAATATTAATCAAGAATTACAAGGAACAGGTCATGTTGAAAGACTTGGGGTATGAGGGATACTGTAAAATTTTAAACAGAGAAGTGATTTGAGGAAATCCACATTTTAGTTAGCCTACGAGGGCTGCAGCAAAGTGATTACAAATGGGAGAGCCAGGGAAACTAGCTTAGGATGGTATGAAGTAAAGCAGACAAGGTGTTGGTTGGCAGAGAGGTTAGAGATAAATTCTTAAAATGGAGACACAAAGGAACTTGATGATATAGGGAATGAAGATGAGAGAGGAGTTCATGGTAACTCTAAGCATTCCTAGCCTGGAAAAAAACAAGGAAATACTAATAGAAAATTACAAATGTCCCTGCTATTACCTTGTCTGAGAAATTAATTCGTGCTGATAAAGGCTGTCATCACAATTAGTTATCTGAACTGCATTTTAATAGATGCCTTCAATGCCTTGACCTCAAGGAGTGGAAGGGTAGAAACTGAAGGGGAGCAACTTTCAACAGCACCCCTCACACTAATACAATGGAGGTGTTTGCTTACTCCGCTTACAATCACGGCCGCCGTTGCAAACTTCACCCTTAGAAAAATTAGGATTATTCCAGGAAAGATACCCATTCACCCTCTGGGTAGCAGGATCTTGCCAGTTCCTCGGCTGTCAGAGCGAGTTCGTGAAGAGAAGGGAGGCGCCTGAGGAGGCGGCCTCCCAGGGGGGTCGAGGAAGCAGGGTTCAATCGAAGAAGTAAAACCAACGATGCCAGAAGAGTGAAAGACAGGGAAGGGACTCAGCTGAGGGGAGAGAGAGACCAAAGGACCGTTAAGCCCCTCCCAGGCCGGGAACCAGGCCAGCCCGGCCCCGCGCGGCCTGGCGCGGCCCAGCCCCGCTCCCCAGCCTGGAAATGCAGGAGCTCCCCCTCACCTGCTCGGGTTCATCGGACGACTGGGAAGCCGAGGCTCCCACAGTCGGAAACACCACTGCAGCGCCAACCCGGAAGCATTGAAACCAACGGAAGTAACCAAGCTGTTGCCCTGGCAACAGTGGCGCTGGCATCCCAACTCCGCCTCCTTCAATCCTTAAAGAGGAGGCGCAAAATAGGAGGCGAAAACAACAGGGGTCTTAATGGGGGAGGGGAGTCGGCAGGCTACACCGCGGAAAGGCCCAAAAGGGCAACCTGACTATTGGGAGAGGTCGGGAGTGGTCGGGAGAGGGTAGTAAGGCCTGAGAAATCGGCAGCTTCTGCAGTCAGCACGCTTGTCTACTAGAGCAGAGATATTTCCTCTTCATCACGTTACTACCCACCTCGAGCGAACTAGGCCCAGGAAAGGAGGGGGTTGGAAAAAAAACTCGGGCCCGCGAAGGGCGGGGCAAACGGGGAGGCGGGGCAAGCGGAGTGAAAGGGCGGTGCGCCTGCGCAAAGATCACAAAAAAGGAGGGAAAGTGAGGGAGCAGGACAAAGGGCTTAAAACCAGCGGGAAAATGAGGCAAAGGGGGTGAGCGCTATTTCGCAAAATGCCTAAACTGGGAAAGAAAGATCAAGTAAACAAATAAACCTCAACACCCACTAGGGCCCAGGCATTCGGGACTGAAGAATTAGACTCAGGCCCTGTACTTAAAGCAGACGGTTGAGAAAGAGCAAGTTGGAAACAGAAAAGAGCTATCAGAAAAAGTTAAAGAATCTGAAGAGTAGCAATACAAACGGGGGAGTTCGAATTAATCCGCAACTCACAATCAGCCAGAAAACTAAGTGAGGGCCCGCTGACTGGCTCTAGCACCTCCAGAATGGAAGGAATAGGTGCAAAGCATTCTGAGTTACTCTGTTACCCAATGGGCTTCCTCTAACTTTTAAGCCTCTGGAGTGAAGGCGCCTCCCCACCCCACCCCCCACCCCTGTAATCTCGTAAGATTACATAATACGTGGGGCCTTGACTTACGAGTGTCCTGACTAACCAGTTTTTCGAGATACGAGCCGTCTCTCGGCTGATTTTTTGCTTTGAGTTGCGAGCTAAAATTCGGGTTACAAGCCAGCTTCAGATACCCCACCGCTAGTTGGCACAGCGAACGTCACAGTGAACGCCACAACATCAGCCCAGCATCACGTCTCACTCGTTCACTTTAAGATTTGACATACAAGTAATTTGAGTTACGAGCTCCGTCACGGAATGAATTAAACTCGTAAGTCAAGGCCCCACTGTAATAGGGTTTATCCATATAACAGTTTAGCGGCCCTAAAATGATTATTTGTTGAATGAATACGTGTTCAGAATACCTTTGTCCCCCCCCCCCCATTTAAAAATGTCTTAAGGCAGCATACATGTTAGCTGACATTAGGGAATGCTTACTGAAAATGATGCCAAGAGCTTCATGTGCACACAACTACCCTATGAGACAGGTACTATTACTTTCCCGTTTCGGTAGATGAGAAAACTGATGTAGTAAGAAGTTAAGAAAGTAACTTGGTAAGTGGCAGAGCTGGGGATTCAAACTCTGGTCTGAATTCAGAGACCAGGCTCATAACCACTATACTATACTGTTCTCAATTCTAATACTCTTGTTACCATCAGAAATTTATTAAAAATAGAAATAATATAAGAAACATGTGCATGCATTCCAAAATGTGAATTCCCTTTAATTTACATCTCAGCAAAGCACTCCCTTCCAGTCAGCCAAAGGAGATTGCAGCTTCGAGTCCTTCTTTGAAGGGACTATACTCTCTCCAGTGACATGAATTGTATGTCCAGCTGTGGTCTGAGCTATCCCTCATATCCAGGTCTATGAGCCTTTTAGAATTATAGCCCTCTCTGAGCAAAACACTACCAGCTTTTATACAAAATTGTACTTTTGCTTCTTCAGCCCCTGCCTCCACAAGTTGATCCCACTGATTACATAAATAAACTTTGTTAAAAGGAGATTTGTTTCAATTACTTATTTTAAAAGCTCAAGAATAGATAACATTTTAAATAGCATTTGTAGAAACAACATAAGAAACACGTTTATTGAAAACATTTGCAGTTTGATTGCTTAGTTTGTTCAAAATATTTTTCTAAAACTACAACATTAAAAAAATCTAGTCTTGCCGAAACTGGTTTGGCTCAGTGGATAGAGCGTCGGCCTGTGGACTGAAAGGTCCCAGGTTCGATTCCGGTCAAGGGCATGTACCTGGGTTGCGGGCGCATCCCCAGTAGGAGATGTGCAGGAGGCGGCTGATCGATGTTTCTCTCTCATCGATGTTTCTAACTCTCTATCTCTCTCCCTTCCTCTCTGTAAAAAATCAATAAAATTTTTTAAAAAAAAACCTAGTCTTCATTATCAATGTTGGCCATTTTCCTTTTTAATCACCTCTATTTGTAGTCTTTACCACATAGGCCAGTATTTGATTATACTGTTATACTTGAATTCTGATCTCTATAGAATCCTGGAATCTTCAAGTGGGAAAGATATATAGAGATCCCTTCTATAATATTTATTATAGACAGTTGTCCAGTCTCTGCTAGAATACTTCCAGTGTAAGTATGTATCACAAGCCAGCTCATTTCACTATTGGATAAACTCTGTTAAAAAGCCAAAATGTGCCTTCCTCTTCTACTCTTCCAAAAGAAACACCTGGTCTTAAAATATGAAAAGAGCATTGTATTTGGAGCCAGAAAACCTTTTTTATTAATTGGGTGAAATTCACATTACTAATACAATATTACATGTCAATTATATATCAATAAAACTGGGAGGGAACAACAAACAAGAATAATATAAGATTGAGAACATTTTTATTTTCACTAAAAGACAGTATTGCCAGCTGGCATGGCTCAATGGTTGAGCATTGACCTATGAACCAGGAGGTCACAGTTCATTTCCCAGTCAGGGCACATACTCAGGATGCAGACTTGATCCCCAGTGTGGAGTGTGCAGGAGGAAGCTGATCAATGCTTCTCATCATTGATGTTTCTATAATCTCTCCCTCTCCTTTCCTCTCTGAAATCAATACATATTTTAAAAAGAAAACACTATTAAGAAAGTAAAAAGGCAAGATCCAGACAGGGAGAAGAGATTTTTAATCCAAGCATCCTACAGAACCACATAGCCAGAACTCCTAACAACAATAAAAAGACAGGCAATTCAATTTTTTAATGGGAAAAATACCTGAAAAGTATTTCATTTAAAAGAGTATATCTAAATGATCAATAAGCATATGAAAAAGTGCAAAGCATTATTAATCATCTAGAAAATCCAACTTAAAACTGTAATACACACCCACCAGCATGTCCAAAGTTAAAAGCACTGACAATACAAGGGGTTTGGTAGCATCTCATACACTGGGTGGGTATATTAGTTTTCTATTGCTGTGTAAAAAACATTTCCACAAATTTAGCAGCTTAAAACACCACGCATTTACTGCCTCCAGTTTCTGCAGGTCAGGAATCCAAGCATGACTTAACTAGGTCTCAGAAGGCTGCATTCAAGGTGTCAGCCAGACTGTGTTTTTTCTTGGAGCTGGACTGGGAAATAATTCACTTCCAAGCTCACTCTGTTTTTTGCAGAATTCACTTCCTTGCAGCTGCAGCATGGAGGGCTTCAATTTCTTGCTGGCTGTTGGCCAGAGGCCACTCTCAGCTCCTGAGGCTCTCCCGTTTCCTGCAACATGGCCCTCTCTATAGGCAGTTCCCTTGTTTCTTCCAGCCTAGCAGGAGAGAAAGAATGCCTTAGATGTAGTTTTATCAGCACAGAACATTTGGGACTGTTATTTTCTGTGATAAAGACTGCACATATTTTTCAAAATTACAAATAGCTTATTTTTCTGATTTTAAAAAGTATATAATCATTATAAATCATTTAAACTATACACAAAAGTGTAAAGAAGTAAAAATTACCCAAAATTCAAACATTTAAAGAGTACTATCTTAACAGTGTTGAGGGCCTCCTTCTAGTCCTCTCTCAGTGCATACATACATACTTATATTATCATTTCTGTGATATGCATGTTACTATCACATGCTCCTGCAGGGTGGCCTTGTGTGCTGAAGTCAGTGTTCTCCATACCTCCAACTTTAGGTCCTCTGAATTTCCCCAGTTTTAAGCGCTATGTATCTTTATGGAGGGAAAAGAAAAGTACAAACAAAACATACACAAGAACATAAAAATACAAAACAAGTAAAAAATGTAAACATCATCCCCATTAGCCACTACCACCGTTAATATTTCTATGTGTGTTCTTCCATTTTTTCTGTCTTTTATATAACTACATACATGCTGATTAAACTTTGCCTGACCTCCTGCCTCCTTGCAGACCACGCTCCCTTACTTCCTCTCAATGATCCTGGAGAGCCAACCTCTTCCTCCATTTATCTTTCCTATTAGCTTCATGTTCTTTCCAGGTTACCAAAACAAGAAAATTCTCTTCTAACCCCTTATCACCCTCTATTTATTGCCCAATTACCTTCCATTCATAGCCTTTAAAAATGTTTAGTAATATTTTACTTAACCCTATAGGTCCAAAATAATATCATTTCAGAAGGTGATCAATATAAAAAGCACTTATAATATGCTTTACATTTTATTTTTATACTAAGTTTTTGTGTATTTTACACTCACAGCCCATCTCAATTCAGGCTAGCCATCAAGTGCTCCATAGCTACATATGACAAGTTGACCAATGTATGCTCTGCCCTGGTGATTCCCTGAGATCCTGCCCCACCCAAGATGTTTGCAGTGTCTTTTCCATATGAATGGCCTGTTCTGGCTCAGGCTTCAGACTTTCCTAAAATCTTTCAAACAAGCAGCAGCTGGACTTAGTGTGCCCCATACCTCCTGAAAAGTGGCCACAGGCCCAGCACTAGCAGCAGCTTGCCATGGTTCACAGCTTGGCCTTTTCTGGGCACCTCCTAGCCCAGTGGTTCTCAACCTTCTGGCACTTTAAATACAGTTCCTCATGTTGTGACCCAACCATAAAATTATTTTCGTTGCTACTTCATAACTGTAATGTTGCTACTGTTATGAATTTTAATGTAAATATCTG